TTTATCAGGATGAAAAAAAAGAAAATTTATTTTAAATGACATATTAACGCTAATTCTTTGCAAAACGAAAAGCATTTTTTCAATTAATTGGCGGCAATTTTAGGCCCGATATGAATCAAGAACATTTTCAATGACAGCTTTAACACTGCCATATGCAACAAGCTCGTCAACTTTGTGAGCATTTTTGAATGCTTGATCTTTCATTAAACGTCGTTTAAAAGGTCCATTTAATATTCCTGCAAAATTAAAGTAGTAGGTATATCTCATAAAATTTTGTAATGAAATATTGCGTTGGTTTTTCTTGGGCGTAAAGGTACCGCAACAAAAACGAAACAAATTTACAACGACGACATAAATGTTCGTCTCCTTTCTCTTTCTCTGCCACTTCCATTACCACTTCCATTTCCTGCTCTTTTTTCATTTTTGGTTCTTAAAATCACTTTCAAGTAAAAATACAATTTAAAGCTTAAATTTTAAATGTCCATAATTAATAGATGCACAGATAAAGTAGATAAAGGCGCCTTTATACTTCAATTCGATATTAAATTTTGATAAAGCTTAATAAATAAGATTCGAGATTAAATTTTTGGGTACTTTAGGCATGATGTGAATAAAAACATATCAAATAATAGTCGAAGATTAATGCTTATACCGAAACCCATTTACTTTGTTGCCTTTTCAATTTAATTAGTAATTACAAAAACGACACAAACATTTCAAAAAATGATACTTTTTACCAAAAAACATTATAATTTTAGTTTTGGTATTTATTAAAGCACTTCTCTGCTTTATTAAATATCCCCTATAGTATACAGCTACGGCTTTGTATGGAGTCCCTGTATATTTTTGACAAAAAACGTCAAAAATATACTAAACATCCAAAATAGATTTAAGGCAAAATAATTTAATAAATAATCAAACTATTAACAAAAACTTACATTTTGAGCATTTTATTACGCAATTATTTCGAATCCTAGACGTCCTGGAGCAAAACGAGTGGCATTTTTGAAATCAGCAGCCCAAAATTAGGTAATATAGGGGGTATATGTTCATTTTTTTTTAAGTTTTCTGCAGTCATTGGAGATCTTATCAATTCTACGCTGAATCAGTGGTTAATGATAATGGTTTTTGGGCAGTTTCTTGTAGAAATTGGGAAGATTACGCTCTTGGGAATTGTAATTCCGATCAAAGACATGTTACTAGAATGGGATTGTATATTGACTACAAGTGAGTAAAATTGCAGGTTTATAAATGTTATACGTTAATAAAATATTGATTTTAATTTTAATTGTGCAATTTGGGGCATATCTTAGTTAAAAACGGCCAACCAGTGCTATCGTTCCAATGCACTCACAGAAAATCGATTAAAAAATACAGCCGCGCGAATCCTCAAACAAAAGTTCACTACTTTACCCCCTCTACATTACCTCATCATGAAACAGTCCAGATAAATATGATACCTACGAACTATTAATAATCTATAAGGGTGTGTCATTTAAAACGAATATTTTCACCGAAACTTTGTTGTGAAATATTGTTCAAAACATCGAAAAAAAGTTCATGTGGTTCATTGTTACTTGGGTCATTTTTAAAATTCTTGTACATTTAAAGAAGAAAAAGTAAAAACAAAAACTTAATCTACAAACCTGTTTTTTTTTCAAATTTGGGGTATTATTTAACAGTTGGATTTTTTAAAATAAGCCCTTAGAAAAGAAAAAAGGAAAAAAATGGTCCACTGGGTTACAAATTTACTAACATATTAAATAAATGCTTAATCATTTTAAAAATATATTTTTTTGCCTTTTAATTATAATAATTTTTTTATCTGGGCTCAGCTTGTAACAAGTTTTAGTTATTAGTAATATTAATAAAATAATAATAAAAAGTCAATATAAACATTGTCTCGTTAAACTACCAAAAAACTTTTTCCATCTTATTTGAGGCAAAATACCTACATTGACTAGGAAAATTACTATTAAAATGGTGAAGGACATTATTTTAAATTGGCTACGTACTGTCAGAAACAGAAAAGGTCGAAAAAAATGTTTTTAAAACTTTCCTATAAGTTTATTATTATTTCAAACAAAGTCCAGTTGGTACCTTTACTACTTTTGTGACATAGAAGAATGCACAGTTTTGCCACGCAGGTATAAAAAATACAAAAAAACGTGTTGTGGCTTCAAGATAGTTCAAAATACCATTTCCTACTAAAATCCGTTACCAAATACATTGCTGCAAGAGGGCAGCACCAAAAATGTGCGCACAATTCAAAATGTCAAAGACCAAAATTAAGGGACAAACTTTAGGGGTTATTTTTACCACTTGTATTTTTAAATATTTCCACAAATTGGCTTTTTCTGTAATATTTGGAATTTATTCTTAACTATTTATATAAAAAAGGAGGATGTTATTTTACTCTAAGATGTTTAAATATCATTACACACTTTTGCTAATATATAGTTGCTAAAAACGCTTAAACCAATTGATTTCGCTTAGTAAAGTTCCAAATGGCGTTAAACTCAATTTTTTATAAAATATTAAATTTGAGGGACAGCGGATGTACAAGAAATTTGAAAATAACACACTTACAGAGTATTTAACGCATTTTAAAAAAGTCCATAAGAGTTTTTTTTTTACTTTTTTCACATATTTTTGAAAATATTAAGAGAAATACTTGTCTTGCCAAAAAATTTATATTTAATAGTCATAGAATTGAATTTAAGACAAATTAATCTTATGAAAAAAGTAATTTTTTAATATTAAACTGCTCATATTTTTTTAAAAATAGTGAAAAAAGTAAAAAAAAATAACTTATCTTTTGTTTTTCTTATGGCAAAGGGACTTAAATATAGTAAAAAAAAATTGGAAAAACATGTAAAACTTTTTTTTAAATTCCCTAGAAAATCGAATTTTTGGTTTTAAAGCTGGCCTTTTTTCAATTTATAAATTAAAAGGGAACCTATAGGTATACTAATCTAGTATTTTATTTTCAGTGCCCAAGGAAACTATTTTTTAAGAACCAATCCAGAATCACCATTTTCTATGTCGCAACCTAATCTGCTAGAATAGGACTTTAGTTTTATATCAAGAAATTCATAATTCGTTAAAAAAATGAGTTCCTAATAAAAATGAGGAATAAATGACTCATGCACAAAGTATAGGTAAATTAACATACACTCACAGGCAAAATAATCGATCCACACAAATTTTCGATGAATTTCATTTGCAAATAACTTTTTTATTTGATTTCGGATTTAAACAAATATTAAAGAATTTTGTAGATACATTAGTGGAGAATCGCTCACATTTTAAAAATTACTAAAAAATACACGTACGTTTATAATATACAGGTTTAAACAAAAATATGTTTTTTACCATAAGTTTAAGACACTCTGTAGAGTGGCAAACCCGTATATTGTTCTAAATTAAGTTTTAATTATCAAGTCAGATCTATTTTTGACAGTTTTGTTTTTGGTTCACCTTGATACATTAATTTGATAGCTTTTGAAAGCCGTGTATGAGTATGGGATGATTCAACAAAACTGTCACTGTCATTCTCCATAGCCTATGGATGGACCATAGCAACCTTAGTTCTTCATACAGAAAAGTTTTGGAAATTGCAATGTTTTTTTAAAAAATCCATATTTTCCACAAAAATAAATACATCGAGGTGAACCAAAAACAAAACTGTTAAGAATAGATGTGACTTGATAAATAAAACTTAATTTAGAACAATATACGGTTTTGCCACTCTATAGAGTGTCTTAAACTTATGGTAAAAAACATCTTTTTGTTTAAACCTGTATATTATAAACGAAACATTATTTTTTAGAAATTTTTTAAAATGTGAGCGATTGTCCATTAATTTATCTACAATATTCTTTAATATTCGTTTAAATCCGACATCAAATGAAAAAGTTATTTGCGATTGAAATTCATCGAAAATTTGTGTGGATCGATTATTTTGCCTGTGAGTGTATATTTATAACATAGGGCAAAATTTAATATTGTTTTAATACATGTTATAACTTAAGTGCTACTGTTTTTTTTAATAAAAAATCACGAAAATTAACATAATTCTTAAACCAGTGGCTGCCTAAGAATTACGTTAATTTTTATATTTTTTTTTATATAAAAACATGATGACAAGAGATGAAAAATTATTATATAAATTTAATGAAAAATTACAAAAAACTGTGCCAACAAATATCAGCTAGGCTTTGTGCATAATTAATAATTATTATTGCAATTATATTTAAATTCCTGAGCCGAATTACAAAAGAAAAATATATTTTCAAAGATTTCAATCAAAGATTTTTAAATAAATGCTATTATGAACTTGCTCTTCGTCGAATTGAGAAACAATTTCCTAGAAAATGCAGGCAACGCAGGAAAGTTATTTCCCTCGGTTTTATATCCGTGAATATGAAACCGAACAAATTTTCAATTTTCAAACTCGAAAACTCTAGTCTGATTGTGTAATATTTATTTTTTTTATTTTTTTGTATTATTTTTAATAAAGTTGTTTTTAAATGTGTGTGTTATTATTTCCTTTGTTTGGCAACTTTATTAGGCAACAACAACAAAAAATACTAAAAAAGATTTAAATTTGGATACTTGTGACGTTAAAACAAAGACATGCAATGCAATTGCAATTCTAATTAAAAAAAAATATTTAGATTTCAAAATCCATTAAACCAGTATAGGTTTAATTAAATTATTTCGCAAATATCTGTATAATACGTTTCCTTAATTCAAGCAATATTATTAGTACACAATACAATGGTGGAACGCTTTATGCTACTAAGTTTGTGGATATTACTCGACAGCAATTTATTAGGTAATCAATTGATAAATAAAAATATTATTTTAATGTTTTTTTGTTCAAGCATTGCCTGTGTTAGCTGTAGTCCAAAATGAAGTCCAATTTTACCTATACACTAGGCAAATTATTAAATGAAATAATTTACAAAAATATCTAATAAAAAGAATATTTTTAGAACAACCTTACAAGACCCTGAAGAATTACAAGTGAATGATGACAGCCTTCTAAATAATTCAAAAATAAATTTTTCGAAGCCAACAAGAATATTTTGCCATGGTTTTACCGAATCTTACACTGCAGAAGTATCTCAATCAGTTATGAAAGGTTAGTAATGTTTTTCATAACAAGTTATTGGTAAATATTATTAACAAGTACTTTCAAATAATGCATATAACTACCAACGAATTTGACCAAAATATTCTCATGGCCATATGACATATTTTTAGGAAAAACTAATAAAAAAAATATTGACAAATTATAAAAATAACAGTTAGTACTTATCTTGCAATAGAACACCCGGTATAATTATAGTATTTTTAACTAAATATGAAATATACCATTTTTAGCATACTTGAAATACGAAGATTGCAACGTTATTTTAATAAATGCTCAGATTCCTTTTGCCAGAAACTACCTAGTGGCAGCAAATAATGTACTGGGTGTTGGAAAATATTCTGCCGAATTCGTGGACTATTTAGTTTCCAAAGGAATGCCTCTATCATCCCTGGAACTGATTGGGATGAGCCTGGGAAGTCAAACTATGGGAATTGTCGGTGCCAGTGTTAAAAGTGGAAGGATCCCAAAAATAATGGGTGAGGGATAACCAAAATATTGACATCATATAAGACAAACAATTTTTTTAGCTTATGAGCCAGCAGGGCCTTTATTTCATACTCGTCCGGAAAGTGCAAGGCTGGACAAAAGTGATGCAGATTTTGTAATTGTTATACACACAAATTGGGGTTTCAATGGATTTTTCTTTCCATGTGGACATGTCGATTTTTGGATAAACGACTCACCACTTTTCCAACCTGGTTGCTCCTTATGGGCATGTGCCTCGAGACGACCATCGGACATGATTAATGAATTGTGTAAAAAAAGTTCAATAATATAAAGCGGTTTTGAAGAAATTATAACACGAAACTATTTTAAAGTATTTGCATCTCTTCAAAACCGCTCAACATGAACCAGTCAATATTTGGTTGTTGTGTAGATGATATTTTGAGTTTACTTTTTTTTAGTTTTTTGCAGTCACTTTTTTAGTCACCGTTTAGCCACATATGCGATTAATAACCAAACCGCTTTCCCAGCTAGAAAATGTACCAGCTTCACAAGTTACAAAAACGGATATTGCGATAAAAATGATTTGCAGTTTGTTGGTGATCAGGTTTATTCAAAGTAAGTTTATTTACAAAATTTTTTTCTTTCTCTCTAACCATATATTATCTCTTTTGACATAATAAACAGGAAAGGAAAAAAAAGTAGTAAAAAATTTTAGATGGGATAATGAGGGAAAAAAATCTATTGAGCTTACATGTAGGCATTTATAATTTTTTTAATTTGTTTTTAGGGCTCGTGGAAATTATTATGCTACTGTTGGAACTGAAATATACAACAAAAAATAAAACTTTTTTTTAAATTTCTGTAAGAGAAATATATTATATGAACAATTTTAGTATTATTAATTTTTATTCCAAGGCCACAACAAAGAACATTTTAATTTTGACATAAAATTTTCCAAAATCTATTAAAAGTTTTAAAATGAATTTTTGTGGGAAGATATAAATCATTCTACTTAAATTAATTAATATATTTTATTTAAATTTTAATTATAATTTTAAACACTGCTTATATGTAGAAGGGTCAAATTTCTGTAATGGGTGGTTTTTATTTGGAAAGGTACCAAGTAAATTAAAATTCCAATGGTCTTGACAAATTATAAAAATAATACTTATTTTGGAATGTAACACCGTTTGGTAACCCTGTATATAATAATAACGTTCTTCTGCACATTAATATCTAATTATAAGATACGATTAATTAGTGAATTTAAAATTAGCTTAATTAACCTATGACATGTGAACTTAATATTATCTACAAAATCATTAAGAATATAATTTAACGAAATGCATTAATATATCTCATCCAAATGGTTTGGGGTGAACCTCTTGTAAGGGAAGAAGGTAAGAAAAGTATAAAACAAAAATAATATACACATATTTTGTATTTTTAGATGACCCATTATATTATTCCAACTTTGTATATAGACAATTTTTATTCAGCAAAATAATCAAACGTATTAGAGTTGCAGTATTTATATTCCATCTTTTTCACAATGCGATTCACATTATTTATATAGCAACGGTTTATACTCTTAAGGAGATTTTTCAATACTCTTATTCACTGGGAATACACACTTTTGTAGGTGATTATAGACCAACCGGTATATTTTTTAATTTTTCCAGTTTTAGATTTTGATTACATCCGCATCCATATTTATTACTGAAAAACGCATACGAAATATTTTCAATTGCATTAATTTGGCGGCGTTGTCTCATACAAACTCGTCAGAGTCAACCCAGAAGAAAATTTTATTTTTTTCAAAAGTTGTGAATGTTGTTAATGGAATGTTCATTTTTACATGTTTTTTGTTATATGTAGCGCAACAATTGCGTCTACCAAACGAGTTAGAATTATTTTTCGTTTTGGATTTTGTGAAATGGCACTTTCCAAATTATTTATTTTTGTTCCAAAAATTTTATTACGTTTTAAATTTGTTGATGTATTTTGAGGTAGCAGCAATCATGTCTATTTTCTTTTATTTAACTATTAAATGGATTTGCCAATTATTTATCTATGAGGACTTTTTAACAACAATTCCCAAAAAGCACGGCAAGGTTAGCAGAGCTGAAGAACAACAATTAATTTATGGTAGATTAAGATTTTGCTTTTATCAAAGGGAAAAATTAATAAAGTAAATATTCTCACTTTATTTTTAAATAAAAAATTGTAAATTTTCTTTTAGACTTCATAGATTGGCTCAAGACACTCTTTACAGATTGGTTATAGCTTTCACAATGGCTAGTATGGTATTTTGGCTTTGCGAAATTATGTTTTTAGTAGAGGTAATCAAATAAGATTATTATCTAGAAGTAGCAATATATACTTGACCTGAAATTTGTTAAAACTCTTCCCCAAAGACAACAGTCAAGTTAGAACTTCTGATGGGAGTTTAAATAAATTTAATCTTTGATTCAGTTTCAAGAAATGTTATAATATATATTTTTTTAAATCATTTCAGAAACAATTTCAAATTCACCCTATACGCGAACCTGCGATATTAATTACAGCATTTTTCATTTTGGTCGTTGATGTTGAATGTGGGCAACAAATATTCGACAAGGTAAATTTATTGAACACAGGGCGTTCTAAAATTACTTATCATTTTTCATATTCCAGTCATCGGAAGTGTTTAGTTCCACATATAACCTACCTTGGTATAATTGGGACAGAAAAAATCAAAAAGCTGCCCTAATGTTTATGCAAACTTCGAAACCTGTGGCTTTTAAGGCTTTTGGGCAGTTGGAAGTCAATAGGATTTTAATGATTTCGGTGATATGAAAAGTTTGTTGTTTTTTTTGTTAAATTTAAACTGTCATTTTTAGATACTAAGGCCAGTGTTTGGAAGTATTTCTTTACTACAGTCTCTTAGAGCATGAAGATAAAAATGATACTAAATTTTAGTAGGTAACTAAAATGAGTTTTTTATTTTTGTTTGAATTTTATTTAGCGTCCAACCTCATTTGTCAATTCTTTTATGGTAGTTTAATTTTTCGTGAATAATAATAAACATTAAAATTCCCTGCATAACAACGTGAATAAAGAACTCATTATTCACGTTGTTAGGCGATTCAATTTTCACTTTGATTTGAACCAATCGGGTTTTAAATTGGGAGAAGGCGACTATAATAACATTTGAAATTGGTCAGGAATTATTGGCAATAGACATCACATACTGCCAAATCAAGGACTCTCCTCATCTTAATACCTTGGACTTTATGCCTCAAGAGTTAATAATGGATGTCAAACCAGAGGCTTTAAATCAAGTAATTCGAAATATGAATGGTATACTTCTTGACGAAGTTCTAATATTAAAAAAATATTTAAAACCTTATATTTAAATGTTAGCATTAACGAATAATTAGGTACTATGTAAGTAGTCAATAAATTACAATAAGCACAACTAATTATTGAAAAAAAAATACTAATTTTATTTTTAGCATAATTTATAGAATAAATGTTTCCCATGCAACTATGACCCCTCACCAAAATCACACAAACTATCCGATGAGATGTTTGAGAAAATTAATTATAATTTAAATATAATAAATCTGAAACATTGACGTACCCAACCAAGAAAAAATCATCTGTTAAATTATACGTAATAAATTTAAAAAAATAGCATAAGTAAATATAAGATTATTTATATAAATATATAAGACTTTTTTTGCACACCATGTATGACAAATAAATGAACAAACCATTTGTTTAATTTAATGATTCGTTTACTTTTACTATTTCAATCAAAATTTTAATCAAGGTTGAAAACTAAAACTAATTCAATCGATTATTTCAATTTTGTACACGACTTAAACTAATTTGATCGTCAATCGTTTGTTAAACCAATTACTTTAGTTTTAAATCATCAATCAAATTAAATTTTTGCCAACAAGCAATATAATTGGTACACAAGACAATGGTGGAACGCTTTATGCTACTAAGTTTGTGGATATTACTCGACAACAATTTATTAGGTAATTTATTGTTAAATAAAAATATTATTTTAATGTTTTTTTGTTCAAGTATTGCCTGTGTTAGCTGTAGTCCAAAATGAAGTCCAATTTTACCTATACACTAGGCAAATTATTAAATGAAATAATTTACAAAAATATGCAATAAAAAGAATGTTTTTAGAACAACCTTACAAGACCCTGAAGAATTACAAGTAAATAATGACAGCCTTCTTAATAATTCAAAAATAAATTTTTCGAAACCAACAAAAATATTTTGCCATGGTTTTACCGAATCTTACACTGCAGAAGTATCTCAATCAGTTATGAAAGGTTAGTAATGTTTTTCATAACAAAATATTGGTAAATATTATTAACAAGTACTTTCAAATAATGCATATAACTACCAACGAATTTGACCAAAATCTTCTCATGGCCATTTGACATATTTTTAGGAAAAACTAATAAAAAAAATATTGACAAATTATAAAAACAGTTAGTACTTATCTTGCAATAGAACACCCGGTATAATATTAGTATTTTTAACTAAATATGAAATATACCATTTCTAGCATACTTGAAATACGAAGATTGCAACGTTATTTTAATAAATGCTCAGATTCCTTTTGCCAGAAACTACCTATTGGCAGCATATAATATACTGGGTGTTGGAAAATATTCTGCCGAATTCGTGGACTATTTAGTTTCCAAAGGAATGCCTCTATCATCCCTAGAACTGATTGGAATGAGCCTGGGAAGTCAAACTATGGGAATTGTTGGTGCTAGTGTTAAAAGTGGAAGAGTCCCAAAAATAATGGGTGAGGGATAACCAAAGTATTGACATCATATAACACCAACAATTATTTTAGCTTATGACCCAGCAGGGCCTTTATTTCATATTCGTCCGGAAAGTGCAAGGCTGGACAAAAGTGATGCAGATTTTGTAATTGTTATACACACAAATTGGGGTTTCAATGGATTTTTCTTTCCATGTGGACATGTCGATTTTTGGATAAACGACTCACCACTTTTCCAACCTGGTTGCTCCTTATGGGCCTGTGCCTCAAGACGACCAACGGACATAATTAATGAATTGTGTAAAAAAAAAAGTTCAATAATAAAAGCGGTTTTGAAGAAATTATAACAAGAAACTATTTTAAAGTATTTGCATCTGTTCAAAACCGCTCAACATAAACCAGTCGATATTTGGTTGTTGTGTAGATGGTATTTTGAGTTTACCTTTTTTTAGTTTTTTGCAGTCACTTTTTTAGTCACCGTTTAGCCACATATGCGATTAATAACCAAACCGCTTTCCTAGCTAGAAAATGTACCAGCTTCACAAGTTACAAAAACGGAGATTGCGATAAAAATGATTTGCAGTTTGTTGGTGATCAGGTTTATTCAAAGTAAGTTTATTTACAAAACTTTTTTCTTTTTCTCTAACCATATATTATCTCTTTTGACATAATATTTTTCCAGTTTAACTCTTAAATTTATAATAAACAGGAAAGGAAAAAATGTAGAAAAAATAAAGCAGAAGGTGATAATTTTAGATGGCATAATGAGGGAAAAAAATCTATTGAGCTTAAATGTAGGCATTTATAATTTTTTTAATTTGTTTTTAGGGCTCGTGGAAATTATTATGCTACTGTTGGAACTGAAATCTACAACAAAAAATAAAACTTTTTTTTAAATTTCTGTAAGACAAATAAATTATATGAACAATTTTAGTATTATTAATTTTTATTCCAAGGCCACAACAAAGAACATTTTAATTTTGACATAAAATTTTCCAAAATCTATTAAATTAAATTAATTAATATATTTTATTTAAATTTTAATTATAATTTTAATGACTGCTTATATGTAGAAGGGTAAAATTTCAGTAATGTGTGGTTTTTATTTGGAAAGGTACCAAGTAAATTAAAATTCCAATGGTCTTGACAAATTACAAAAATAATACTTATTTTGGAATGTAACACCGTTTGGTAACCCTGTATATAATTATAACGTTCTTCTGCACATTTATATCTAATTATAAGATACGATTAATTAGTGAATTTAAAATTAGCTTAATTAACCTATGACATGTGAACTTGATATTATCTACAAAATCATCAAGAATATAATTTAACGAAATGCATTCATATATCTCATCGAAATGGTTTGGGGTGAACCTCTTGTAAGGGAAGAAGGTAAGAAAAGTATAAAACAAAAATAATATACACATATTTTGTATTTTTAGATGACCCCTTATATTATTCCTACTTTTTATATAGACAATTTTTATTCAGCAAAATAATCAAACGTATTAGAGTTGCTGTATTTATATTCCACCTTTTTCACAATGTGATTCACATTATTTATATAGCAACGGTTTTTACTCTTAAGGAGATTTTTCAATATTCTTTTTCACTGGGAATACACACTTTTGTAGGTGATTATAGACCAACCGGTATATTTTTTAATTTTTCCAGTTTCAGATTTTGATTACATCCGCATCCATATTTATTACTGAAAAACGCATACGAAATATTTTCAATTGCATTAATTTGGCGGCGTTGTCTCATACAAACTCGTCGGAGTCAACCCAAAAGAAAATTTTATTTTTTTCAAAAGTTGTGAATGTTGTTGTAGGAATGTTCATTTTTACATGTTTTTTGTCATATGTAGTGCAACAATTGCGTCTACCAAACGAGTCAGAATTATTTTTTGTTTTGGATTTAGTAAAATGGCACTTTCCAAATTATTTAATTTTGTTCCAAAAATTTTATTACGTTTTAAATTTGTTGATGTATTTTGATGCAGCAGCAAGCATGTCCATTTTCTTTTATTTAACTATTAAATGGATTTGCCAATTATTTATCTATGAGGACTTTTTAGCAACAATTCCCAAAAAACACGGTAAGGTTAGCAGAGCTGAAGAACAACAATTAATTTATGGTAGATTAAGATTTTGCTTTTATCAAAGGGAAAAATTAATAAAGTAAATATTCTCACTTTATTTTTAAATAAAAAATTGTAAATTTTCTTTTAGACTTCATAGATTGGCTCAAGACACTCTTTACAGATTGGTTATAGCTTTCACAATGGCTAGTATGGTATTTTGGCTTTGCGAGATTATGTTTTTAGTAGAGGTAATCAAATAAGATTATTATCCAGAAGTAGCAATTTATACTTGACCTGAAATTTGTTAAAACTCTTCCCCAAAGACAACAGTCAAGTTAGAACTTCTGATGGGAGTTTTAATAAATTTAATCTTTGATTCAGTTTCAAGGAATGTTATAATATAATTTGTTTAAAATCATTTCAGAAACAATTTCAAATTCACCCTGTACGCGAACCTGCGTTATTAATTACAGCATTTTTCTTTTTGGTCGTCGGTGTTGAATGTGGGCAACAAATATTCGACAAGGTAAATTTATTGAACACGTTCTAAAACTACTTATCATTTTTCATATTCCAGTCATCGGAAGTGTTTAGTTCCACATATAACCTACCTTGGTATAATTGGGACAGAAAAAATCAAAAAGCTGCCCTAATGTTTATACAAACTTCGAAACCTGTGGCTTTTAAGGCTTTTGGGCAGTTGGAAGTCAATAGAATTTTAATGATTTCGGTGATATGAAAAGTTTGTTGTTTTTGTCAAATTTAAACTGTCATTTTTAGATACTAAGGCCAGTGTTTGGAAGTATTTCTTTACTGCAGTCTCTTAGAGCATAAAGATAGAAATTATACTAAAATGAGTTTTCTGTTTGTTTGAATAAAAATATGACTTGTTTTTTGAACACTTTGTATGACTTATAAATAAATAAACCATTTGTTTAATTTTCATTTTACCCGACATTACAATTTTAATCAAGGTTGAAAACTAAAACTAATTCAATCGAATATTTCAATTTTTTACATGACTAAAACTAATTTAATTGCCAATGGTTAGTTCAACTAATTACGTTAGTTTTAGTTTTAAATCGTCAATCAAACTAAATTTAGTAGTCAGTAATTATTTTAACCATGGCAACAAATTTACTTTCCTCGATATGCTTGCTACTCGGGGCCAACAACATAGGTAAGTTTTTAATAAATGAATAAAAATATTTTCAGTGGTAATACTACAAGAAAGTGAGGATAAATTAAAAATACTTAGACATATTTTTTTAAACCTGTTAGTAAATACTACATTTTAAAAGTGACTCTTAGTTTTTTATTACCGGTTATAGTTTATTTTTGTCAAAATTCTAAATCTTTTTTTTTTGTTAAAAATTGTTTAATTTATTAAAATACAAAACATAAACAAAAAATATTGTTTCTACTCCTACCTTTAAAATATGAATCGTATATATACGATATATACTTCATGACGAAGTTCTAATATTTAACAAAAATTATTTTAATTTTAGCATTCACGAATAATTAGCTACTATGTAAGTAGTCAATAAATTACTATAAGCACAACTAATTATTGGAAAAATACTTATTTTATTTTTAGCATAATTTATAGAATAAGAATGAAACGACAGATAAAAATGTAAACAATAGGAGGTATAACCTTATCAATAACCAAGTTAAAAATTAAAACTTAAATTTAAAATTATTTAAATCTATAGTTGTGTGTGAATTGCGCTTACATAAAGTAATGCGCAGTTGTTATAATAAATTTTTTTCATTTTACTATGGCATATTTGTCTTTTTTAAATTACTATCGTTGTAATTCAAATTAATTTTATTTCAGTTAGAAAATCTTTGTTAATAGCTTAGGTACGTTAAGAATAATAACAAAAATATTTTATTGCTATAAAAGACTTTTTTAATATTAACCATTGTTTTGGAATGGTAACAAAATTTTTGTTATTTCCCTTAAAAAGAGGGGGAAAGGGCCAGCGCTCTCCTTGGTAAACATAACTTTGTGTAACTGTGTTATAATCTTATTGATTTCACTTGTGCGAGTGAAGTGTGGTAAAATCTAGCATGATAAAAATATCAAAAAGATTACTAAGAAAATTAAAATTTCGACGTTTTCTAAAAGAAATATTTAAGGTCTATTCTATAAACGATTCATTTTTGTTTGAGTGGTTAGGATAATGTTACATAAATTACATTTATATTGCGCACTAGTGATAACTTATTACTGATAAGTACTTACCTAATTGGTAATAAAGTTAAATACAAAATTTGTTTGTTCATTTTTGAAAATTTTATGCGAAGATATAATCATAATAAAAACTACAACATTCAACAGAAAAATGTAACAAACAATAACAATAATAACTTTCAATATTTCGTTGGCCCTCCCTTAACCCGTAATAATTCGTTAACCCTCCTGGGCATTCCCTAGACCAACTTCCTTAGAAATTCCTGGGGTATGGCTTCCCATTCTTCCTGAATCGAATTTACCAATTCATCCAAATTTTCCATGCGTCCTTCCCTATCTTTCATCTTCAGTTTCATCATGCTCCACACATGCTCAATAGGATTCATATCCGGAGACAAAGGTGGCCAATTCATTCTCTCAATATCATGGTCCCTTAAACGATATTAGCGCGATGCGGAAGGGCATTGTCGTCCACCAACACCACATTATTGGCATTTAATTTTTATCATTTGATCCTTTAATCATTTAGTGACATGATAATAACGTACTAAAGATGCAAAACACAGTAAAAAACAGTAAAATCCAGCAATCAGGCTAAGTGTATTGCCTACAAAAAAGGATCAAATGTACTCCATTGAAAAAAAAAATCATATTTTTGTTGCTAAGATTCCAATTCGAAAAATTTGAAAAAAGTTTCAAGGTAAGACATAATACTTCATTATTTCAAAGTAAAAACGAGAAAAAAATATTTATTTTACAAACGGGGCTTGGATGAAGTTATTGAAATTTTTCACTGTTTTGCATATCACCCTGTAGTAAATTTACTTGAAGAACCGTGAATTTCATATCTATAGCATGAATTGCCAGAGAATGGAACTAGCAGACATTACAAACCAAAATAAAATCGTTCAAGAAACAAAAAAGTTATGTCGTTTTGAAAAACGACGAAATTTTTGGTCGCGACACATTCAGTGGTGCGCAGTTTATTTATTAAAAAAATTTCTGAATTTCTGCATATTTAGAGGAGGAAAACATTAGGTACTTAAAATTTTAAATAATGTCGGAGACAAAAATTGACATCTGTGTCACAATAAAGTGTATTTCAGTCGACCAAATATTTTACATATTATAAAATCAACAATCCTAGCAATTTAAAGAATTTCCTATGGCCATGTATTGTGATTGGCTATCGTTTTTTAGTCTTATTTCGCTTATCCTTTGCTTTAGATAATTGTAATTTTCAAGTATGTGTTTCGCATAACTTTTTTTCCTGTATAACATTTAAAAACAATGATAAGCTTTAGCTTATTATATTATGTCAAATTAGCTAGATATATGTTAGTAAATAAATTAGGCATGCCTGCAGGGAACATATATACCATTACGAGTATTTCGTTGTCAGTTACTAATTATTTTTAACTATGGCAACTACTTTACTTTCCTCGATATGCTTGCTAGTCGGGGCCAACAACTCAGGTAATGACATCGTTTGTTTTTAATAAATTAAACAAATATTACAAGAGAGTGAGGATAAGCTAAAAATAATTCGACAGATTTTTTAAATCTTGCGTACAGTGCCCATAAAACATTCTCTTCTCTATTACTGTGAAAAACTGCTGCCAAATCGATTGTTAATATTTTAAAGTATCAATAATTGTTGAGTTTAATTAAAGTAATAACGGGCAATGTTAATGGTGAAAATGTTTATTGGGTTGGTTACCTTATTTTCGTTAAATTTAAATGATTTTTTAGATAATATTAAGTATTTATCGTAGAAACAGTATACTATCTCTCATAAGCTCGGTCGTGCCTAAATTAAATTCCCGACTAAAATATCCTATAATACTTTTTCAGCACCTGTCCCAGGAATTACAATACAGGCAAGTTATTTTCAACTATACACAAAAGACAGATCTTTATGTCCTCCCGTTAGAGATAATGAGGTCCTTTTTTACCTGTACACACAGTAAGCAAAATTTATTTTTTTACGAATACTTTTTAGGCTATAGGTATATATATAATTAATATTATAATCAAGTTGTATTTTAATTAAATACTTTTTTACTCCCACCTTTAAAACATACACGTGACACTAAGTAATTTTTTAAATGCACATTGACAAGATAGCTGTTACTGACATTTTAGTCACAGGCTGAAGTTACACTTCACAGTTGTCAATTGCCATTAAAAAAAATTATAAATTCTTTAAACTTTGATCTTGAATTAAATGGTTGGAGAAATCGCTTAAATGCATCAGTCCTTTTTTGTAGAACATTCAATTTTCTGCAAAAATATGTATAAATATTTCATTAAACGATTTTTCTCAATTTTTCAGTATCGAAAAAAAAATATATTCAATTTTTTTGAATCACGCTAATGTTAAGGTGATATTTTTTTAGAGCAAATGCAGATAATCCCAAACAGCTAAAAATAAATGATGAAGGATTGTTTAGGAGTTCCAAAATTGATTTTAATAAACCAACCAAATTTTTTGTCCATGGGTTTCTTGAAAGTTATAAGTCCGACGATGCTCAGCAAACTAAAAAAGGTAAATAAAATATCAAGTAACCACCGTATTTTTTTTAAAACAACGGTCCAATAGTTTTCTCTACAAACATCTTTGATTTTAGCGTACTTGGATAAGGAAGATTGCAACATGATTTTGGTCGATGCCAAAGTTCTTTACGCCGGTATTAATTACCTAGCAGCAGCAAACAATGTGCAAGCTGTTGGAAAATATGTTGCCACTTTTGTGGACTATCTGGTTTCAAAGGGAATGCCAATTTCTAGTCTGGAACTGATCGGCATGAGCTTGGGTGGACAAACTGTTGGGATTATTGGAGCCCATGTAAAGAGTGGAAGAGTGCCAAAAATTTTGGGTGAGTGTTAATACTTTGCACTTCGTAAGAGATTAAGACATAGTTCTTTCATTATTCAGCTTATGATCCAGCCGGTCCGTTGTTTAATGGTTATCCAGAAGATAAAAGATTGGACAAATCGGATGCAGATTTTGTGATTGTAATTCACACGAACTGGCTTCAAAATGGATATTTCTTACCCTGTGGTCACGTCGATTTTTGGATAAACAACACTCCACTCAGCCAACCTGGATGTTCCATTTCTCAAGTCACTCGTAGAAAACCAGGAAACATACCAGAAATAGGTACGTAATTTTCAACACAGTGGAACTAATAACAAGTTAAAACTCCTTTTTAAAGTTTTTTGCAGTCATTTCTTTAGTTGGAGAACGGGTAAATTTGCCTTATACCACCCAACTGCATTTCCCGCTAGAAAATGCGACAGCTACAAGAGTTACAAGAAAGGTGCCTGCAACGGAAACGATTTGCAATATGTAGGAGATAAAGTAAAAGCGACGTAAGTGACATTGCAATATTTATTTTTTATGTAACTATATTTAATTTAACTTTTAGGGCCTCCGGAAACTACTACGCCACTGTTGGAAAGGAAATTTATTCTTAAATATTAAATACATACTTTTACAGTTTTAAACAATTAAAATGTTTTTGTATTAAAAAAACATACCTATTTAACCTAAGAAATACAATTATACTTAAGTAACAGTAATTGTTTATAGATTAAAAATATACTAATACTGACTTAATTGCTAATTAACCGTCATTTTTCGTACACCCTGTATATATTAAATATATACAGGGTGTTTCAGAATAAGATGCTGAACTTTACCTGACTATTACCGATGTACGGGGCGAAAGGGACAACATGCTCAAATAAAAATACCATATTATGGTACACTATTCATGGTACCTCCACGAACAATGACGAGTTCTGTGCGAGCTGTCAAGAAAATTCCTCCCCAAACCATTACAGAACCTCCATTAAATAGCGAGGTTTCACGAATGTAAAACTGTGAAAATCTCTCATTTGGATGTCGGTCAGAGCTGAATAAACAAAACCTGGACTCGTCTGTAAATAGTACACGCTGCCAATCCTCAATATTCCAGTCAACATGTTGTCTGGCAAATTGCAGTCTTGCTCTACGATGATTTGCATTCAACTTCGGTCCTGTTGCTGGAATTCTGAAGGTCAAATTCTGTTCCGCAAGACGTATTCTTACGGTGGACTCACTTGTTTGAAAATTATGAGTAGCATTAAGTTGCACCTGTAGATTTCTTGCTGTTACAAATCGTTCTCTCAAAGCATGCAAATAAAGGAAACGATCATGTACGGCTGTTGTCATTCGATGCCTTCCCTGCCCATCACGTCTGTTATGATCGTTGGTTTCTTCAAAACGTCGAATGCACGGGGTATTGGGGTATGATTAACTCCCAATCTCCGAGCTATGGCGCGGTAGCTTAATCCTTGCTCGGCCAATGTAATTATTCTTACACATTCATCACGATTCAAATTTCCCACTTGGCGCTCCATTACAATAACTTTATGCAGACAACTTAAATGAAAATATTAAGTTCTTTCATTTTACATTAAACTAGAGTTATTTAATCTTTAACCGTAGGTATATCTTATTTAAAAAAAGAGATAGCGACGTGAATCAAGAAACAAAATGTTAAGAAAATATGGGGCTATAGTTTAATTATATGAGTCATATGCTGTTAATCCCACAGGGCGTTTCAAATTTCCGGAAATAAACTTATTATCACTCAAATGTAAATTTGAAAAAATATTTGTGGAAAATTTTTGGTGGTGCGTTAAATTTTAGCATTAACGAATAATTAGGTACTATGTTAGTAGTCAATAAATTACTATCAGCACAACTAATTATTTTAAGAATACATATTTTATATTTAGCATAATTTATTATTATTATAGCGCGGAACTTTTCAAGCGATGACGTCAAAATGTTTACAAAAATTAGATTTAAAAAGTATACACTTATCTTAATACATGTGCAAAAAAAACTATAATATCACAATATAATCATTTTTATGTAATCGCTGGAAAACTTCCGCGGTATAATTATTATTGACATTATTTGGGTTTTTTGTATACAGAGTGTTTCACATTCGTGGTCCATTAGAAGTTTCTGGGGAACAGAAAAAGATATCAATTTGAAATTTTAAAAGCATTTTTAATCCATTTAAGTCCATTCTAAAATATTTTTACATTTTTGCGTAAAATTCTGAGTCAAATTACCATACCATGTCCTATACCTAAAGTGAAAAGTTTTCGAGTTATTAATTTTTTTCGTTTAAATTTGAGGAATGCACGTCAATTAAAAATAGCCTATAACTTTTTTGTTATTAGGTTTGCAAATATATGGGTGTAATTTTTGGAATCTTAAAACATTGTTTAAAATACACTCACAGGCAAAATAATCGATCCACACAAATTTTCTATGAATTTCAATCGCAAATAACTTTTTTATTTGATGTCGGATTTAAACGAATATTAAAGAATATTGTAGATAAATTAATGGACAATCGCTCACATTTTAAAAAATTACTAAAAAATAGACGTTCGTTTATAATATACAGGTTTAAACAAAAAAATGTTTTTTACCATGAGTTTAAGACACTCCAGAGTGGCAAAACCGTATATTGTTATAAATTAAGTTTTATTTATCAAGTCGCATCTATTCTTAACAATTTTGGTTTTAGTTCACCTCAATATACTTATTTTTGTGAAAAATATGGATTTAAAAAAAAAACATTGAAATTTCCAATATTTTTCTGTACGAAGAACTAAGGTTGCTATGGTCCATCCATAGCCTATGGAGGATGACAGTGACAGTTTTGTTGAATCATCCCATACTTGGACATGTCATAGCCGCGGCTTTTAAAAGCTATCAAATTGTTTTTTGCAAATTAATGTTTAAATTTTTAGGTGTCTTCTTACTTTAAAAATGGATATGTCCCCGACTGATGTTGCCAAAGCCATTAATTTAATCCAGGATGGACGGTTACAGTATTACGTGGCAAGTGTTTTAAACGCTACAAAAAGTAAAGTACAAAGGCCAACAACAGTCGGAGACATTTTTAAAAATAAGAAGACACCTCAAAATTAACACATTAATTTACAAAAAAACATATTGACAGCTTTTGAAAGCTGTATATGACATGTCCAATTATAATTATGGGATGATTCAATAAAACTGTCACTGTCATCCTCCGTAGGCTATGGATGGACCATAGCAACCTTAGTTCTTCATACAGGAAAAATATTGGAAATTGCAATGTTATTTAAAAAAAAATCCATATTTTCCACAAAAATAAATATATCAAGGTGAACCAAAAACAAAACAGTTAAAAATAGATGTGACTTGATAACTAAAACATAATTTAGAACAATATGGTAAAAAATATAATGTATCTACAATATTCTTTAATATTTGTTTAAATCCGAAATCAAATATAAAAGTTATTTACGATTGAAATTCATCGAAAATTTGTGTGGATCGATTATTTTGCCCGTGAGTGTATTTCATGTAAATTCTATAACATTTTTTAACAATTACAATTACCTGAGAAAACCCAGGGCAAATTAGGCTAACTTGAAAAGTTAATAACTTTTTTATTTTAAATGTTACACCCTGTATGTTTTTACATAATCAAATGGTAAATTAAAAAACCTTTCGAATGAGGTTACTATTCCCTATACAAAAAGTGAATAATTTCAGAGATATTTAACAATTTATAAATTTTAAATATTATTTTGTATCACCTGACACAGTGTCCCTGAACGAAGTTTAGGTCACATAAAAATGACGCCAAAAACTGATTGCAGTTTCTTGTTCGGGACCCTTTGGTGACTTAAAAATGATATTTACCAAAATCCTAGCTGATCCTCTTTTCGAAATTTTTTGAAAATTAATGATTTTTTTTTTAAATTTTTGTCTACCTTTGACAGAGTACACATTTGTACACCGACTTTAATAATATTGGAATATATTGTTAAGGAGATTTGGAGAATACTGTTTATACTGTGTACATCATTTAATATATACAGGGTTAGCCAAAAATTGCTTCTTTTAATAAAGCAAAAGCGTAAATTCATGATTTTGGCATAACACGCAAAAAAGATATATACCCACCCATGTTTTTTTAGATATTTTTATGTTTATCAGGCTACAAAATGGGATTCTTATCAAGACTTTATAAGAAAAATTAATTTTGAATAAAATTAAATAAAATAAATTTTTTTGTAGATAAATCTGTTTTGTGCATTATGCTTTTTACTATATAAAAACGTGATTGTATAAATCTAATGATGTGCTCAGTATGAGAACAGTATTCTCCAAGTCTCGTTAACAATATACTCCAATATTATAAAAATTGGTGTACAAATGTGTACTCTGTCAAAGGAAAGATAAACAAAAATTAAAAAAAAAAATTAAGAATTTTCAAAAAAATTCGAAAAGAGTAGCAGCTAGGATTTTGTTAAATATCATTTTAAAGTTACCAAAGGGTCCCGAACAAGAAATTGCAATCAATAAAAATCGGTGTACAAATCTGTACTCTGGCAAAGGTAGACTTTGCGATAAACAAATAATTAAAAAAAATGATTTTTTAACAAATGTAAAGAAAAGCAGTTAGAATTTTGGTAAATACCGTTTTTAAATCTCCAAAGAGTGTCGATCAAAAAACTTAAAATAATAAAAGGTTAATAAGAATGCCATTTTGTAACCTAATAAACATAAAAATATCTAAAAAAAAATGGGGATACATCTGTTTTGCTTGTTATGCCAAAATCATGAATTTACGCTTTTGCTTTATTAAAATTAAGCGATTTTTGGTCCACCCTGTATAAATCAAATGATGTGAACATTATTAAAAAGTATTCTTTAAGTCTCCTCAATAATATACTCTAATTTTATAAAAATCGGTGTACAAATGTGTACTCTGTGAAAGGTAGACTTTGAAATAAACAAAAATTTAAAAAAAAAAATCATAAATTTTGAAAAAATTTCGAAAAAAGGATCAGCTAGGATTTTGGTAAATATCATTTTAAATTCACCAAAAGGTCCCGAACAAGAAACTGCAATCAGTTTTTGGCGTCATTTTTATGTGACTTAAACTTCGTTCAGGGACACTGTGCTGAAACATCTGTTAGTAAAACATCAATAGGTACATGGGCGCCGGAAGGAATTTGTCTAGGGGGGGGCCTTAAAGTTTTTTACAATTTTGATAAATGTTATTTATAATCAAGTTGTACTGTAGAAGTTCACATAGACTTAAGTCAAATAAAATATCATCTTTATATGTATATTTACCTATTTATTTATATTGGTACATATTGCAAAAAATACAGTTTTTTGGTAAATATATAAATATAATAAAAATATATAGCCAAGGAATCTCCTCTAGTAGTACAGCCGTCTTATGTATACGCTATACAAATTATGATATTTATTATTTAATCTAAAACCCCTTGGATTCCAAATCAAAATTGATATGAACCTTATTGCACGTATATAACATTTCATCGAAGATCTTTAAAATATGAACATTATGATCTGTGGCTTCTAGTTTCTTCGCCATAGGATTATGAACGGAATCAGTAAACTTTGCTTCTGATTTCTTTGAACAGCCAGCCATTTCATTCATTTTACAACTGTAACACTAGTGTTCATTAAGACGGCACAAATCTAAGTTAAATTATCCAAGATAACAAATCTAATTTATCTAAAAAATAATGAACAAATAGCTGGCCATACACAGGCGTTATTTCGCGCGGTTTATCGTGGCGTGTTGGGATGTAGCGGTTAGTATTCACGAAAGAACGGCATGGCAA